CCATTCTGCTTCCCAGAACTGGTATTTAAGCCAGCTTCTCAGAACAAGCATACACCACCTTCACCTGCACGTCAAGAATGGTGGGTGACTTTGTGCATGTGCTCTATGTTATCACTCACCTAAATTTCTACTGGAACCATTTCATAAGGCCTTAGTAGGTGTCACATTTCCTCCCAGGGTGCCTTTTCTGTCAAAGAGCCTATGTTCTGAAATCGGTACGGCAGGGATATGGTTTCACCTACCCTCGCCTCCCTTGCAGTGGTGGCGGTGGGCGTGCACGTGTGCCACCGAAACTGCTCGGTCAAGGGCAGGAGCAGAGAAGCAACGCAATGCTGATCCAAACCCTCGACTCCCGTGCTCTCGTCAGTGGCCTGGCCGTACCTGATGCTCCAGAGGAGGGCTACAAACCAGCCTGCTTATGCACATAACGTGAGGTTTGCAAGGGAGGATGGCAGTCCTCGCCTCCTTCCAAGGAGGAAATTGCATCCCCTGCGATTAGTAAGTTTTTATCTATGCACTGCGATATTGCAGGGAATTCTAAGGACCTCTCATGGCAACTAGGAGGCGAAAAACAATCATTAACCCCTCCTCCACCTCCCTCGAAGCCACTGAGCAGCAATTTAACCCGCAAACATACCGCACCACAGCACAGATAAAACAATCTCTATCAGCCTTTACGCTATCTACCGGCTCCTGACATTTGGGATATTCACGTACTTTGAGGCTTAAGGCATGCTGCAGAGCCTGGCTGCGGACCCTCCCGTATCGGCTGCGGGGAGTTTGTTTTTATTGGTCACTTTCAGGGCATTTTTCCCCATCTGCTCCCTTTTCCCAGTCAGGCAGAAGCAGGGGCGCCGCCGAAGTTAGGATGCTCTAAGGCACCGCTAAACTTCCACCGCACGCTCTGGTGCGGCACCGGTGCGGCCCCGGTTGGAAGCCGGCGCCCTGCCCGCCCCGGCAGCGGCTCCCTTCTCCTCTGCCTCCCCTCCCCTCCGCTGCCCTGCCCGGCTCCAGGGAGGCGGCCGTGCCGGCGCTCGCCCGCTGCGGCGCGCCGGGAAGGGGGAAGCGCGGCCGGGCTGACCGCAGGCCCCGCGCCTCCCGCCGCCCCCGGCCGCTGCGGACCCGCCGCGGGGCGCCGCACCCGCCCCGGGTCACCGCACCGCCCCGCACCGCCCGCCGGATGCGGCCCGGCGAGCAGCGAACTTCAGGGCGATCGCCGCATTACCCACCCGGCCGGCGGCGCCCGCCCGGGAGGGGCTGGGCGGGCTCGGCGGCGGGCGGTGCGGTGCCGGGCAGGCCTCGCCGGCCCGGGGCCGCACCGGGGGCAGGGGGGTCAGGGCCGGCCCTGCGGGGCGCTGGGAGGGGGCCGGGCAGGTACGCGCCGGGGCTGCAAGCCCCGAGCCGCAGGGCAGCGGTGGCGGGCGAGCTCCCCCCGCCCGCGGCGGGGCCCCGCTGCCGGGGGAGGCGCCGGGGGCGGCCCGGGGAGGGGAGGGGAGCGCAGGGGAGGGGGGGCTGCCCGGACCGGGGCCGCTCGGCGGCGCGGCGCGGCCGCCAGAGGGCGCCGCCGACGGGCCGGCCCCGACCGGCACCCCGGGCCCGCCGCGGCCCCTCCGCCGGCACCGGCCCGGCCCCGCCGCGGCCCCCCCCGCTCCCCCGCCGGCCCCACGCTCCGCCGGCCTCGTGCCCGGCAGCGGCGAGCCTGGGCAGGGCCGGCTGCCCTCCCTTCCCTGCAGAAAACGCTTCTCTTTGTCTGCCCGCCTCCGGCGGGGTCCGAACTCCGCGCCGCGGGTGAGCTCGGGGCTGCCCAGAAATAACCCGGTGGGCCGCCGGTAACTTTACACCGCCCGCCGAGCGCCCTCCGAGCGGGCGCCGCAGCCCGAGGCTCGATTTCCTCCTCAGATAAGTTTTACCGGCCTCGCCACGGGGACGAAAGTACCGTGTCCCCGCGCCGCCCCCCCCCTCCCGCTCCCGCTCCCCTCCGCGCCCGGGTCTCCGCCGCCACGGACCGAGCGGTCCCGGGCGGGATGGAGCGGCCGCCGGAGGATGTCCCTCCGGTTTATGTAACGCTCCCCGGGCAGCACCGAGCCAGGAGGGGTGACGAGGGAGGATAAATGCGTCGCGATGGGATTTAAATTAAACCCTGATACATCTTTGAATATTTTCTTTTTAAACAGACACCCTGAACTACGCACCGATCTAACACACGTACCCATATCCATATATACATATATACCTATGTGTGTATATATATATATATATATACATATATATATATATTATTTTTTTAACACGGAAAAAACTAAGTTGGGGCACTTGGGCTTCTCTCCGCAGCCCGGGCTGGGCTGAAAGAGAAGCCGGGGGAGCTGACAGGCGGCTGCCGGCAGCTCCGTCGCCCGCCGCCGCTGCTGCCCGCGGGGTCCCCGCTCCCCGGAGAAGCGGAGCCCCGGCGTGGGGAACTCCTGGGAAACCGGCGAACGGAGCGGGGTGGCCGGTCCTGGAAATGCGAACTGCGGCGAGGGGCAGACAGGCAGCAGGCACACACACACACGGAGGCGCAGGGCAAGCTCTGTCCACCTCATTGTTCTGCTCGGCACCGGCACGGACTTCACCCACCGCCCCCCGCCGGGGACCGAGCGCCCGGGACCGCGGGGCCGGGGGCGGGCAGAGCCGGGGGGAGACCCGCGCCTCGCCCCGCTCCCGCCGGGCACCGGGAAGGGCGGGGGTGCCCCGCCGCCTCCCCGCAACATCTCCGGGGGCACGGGGAACCGCGGGCGGGCGGCCGGGGACCCCCTGCTCCCCCCCTCCCTCCCCCTCCGCCACCGGGCGAGGGGTGCCGGCGGGGCGCGCCGGGCCGGGGCTTACCTTCGTACATGGGGGCCATCGGTGCAAGGACGCCTGTTATTCATGGCAACGCCGCCACGAACGACGCGAGATCGCAGCCCCCCAAACTCAACACACATCTGCCATCTTGAGCGGGTGTCTCTCGGCGGAGGCGAAGCTGCCGCCTGCCTTCTGCATCGCTGCCCACCTCAGCGCGGGGGGAGCCGGGCACATCCAGCCCCGCTGCCGGCCCTCCGACGCGGCCGGGGCGGGCGGGCGAGCGGGCGGGGGGCGGCGGCGCCGGGCCGGGCCGGGCCGGGCCGGGGCCGGGGCGAGGCGCGGGGCCGGGCAGGGGCGGCGGGCGGCGGGGCCCCCCCGGCTCGGGACGGCGGCGCTGGGGAGGGAGGGAGGGAGAGAGGGAGGGAGGGAAGGAGAGAGGAAGGGAGGAAAGGAGAGGGAGGGAGGGAAGGAGGGGGGCTGGCGCGGTGCCCCCGCTCTCAGCGCGGCATGGCTGCGTGTGCCGGGGCGCCTGCAAAAGTTGCACTGGGGGTGAGAGAAAGGGAGAGAGAGACGGAGGGAGAGAGAGGGAGACGGAGACCGAGACGGAGAGGAGGAAAAAAAAAAAGGAGAAAAAAAAAAAAAGCAGCGAAGGGAGTTTGCAAATAATCAAGCGCCGATGGCACCGATCGCGGCTTCCCAGAAGGAGCGGGAGCGAGCGAGAGAAACCCTCTGCTGAGATTATGTGGGATCTTGTTTAACAACACATTTCAATCAGGAGAAAAAAGGAACAGTCAACAGAAGTTGGTGAAACACTTCTGTCTTCCCCCCCCTCCTCTTTATAGAAAAGAGAGGAAGAGAAAAAAATAAAAAGGCAGCTGATTGAAGCTTTGCAACTCACTGGCTGTGGGGATCATATAATTTGAGCTCATGTTTTACAATAGCATGGAAAATTCCTACCTCTCCCCCTCTCCCCAAATAAATCTTCTATTCCCTCAAGGCATTTCACAATCTGGTTCACTGACAAAAGTTCCAATTTATCTTTTTTTTTTTTTTTTTTTCCTCGTTTAGCTTACTCGCAGTATAAATATTTAGCGGATGCATTTAAAAGAAACATACGTTGTTGCTTTTAGGATTCAGGTTGTGGTTTTGGTGTTGATTTGTTTGTGTTTCTTTTTTTTT